ATTAAAAAATAAGCCAAAAATCCAGTGATCAATTAAAAGAAAAGATATTTCAATATTTTAATTTTATGAAGCAAAATCTTAATAATAAGAGTCTTATTGTATAACAAACTTTAATCAAATATTTTACTAAATCATTTATACTTAATATTATTGAATTATAAATATCTTATATCTTATTGAAAGAATCTAGTCACGTGAAATGAGCAAATAAATAAGCAAGCAAATAAATAAATAAACAAATAATGAAAGAATAAATAAGCAAATATTAAATTAATAAAATTAAAATAAACTACCAAACATGAATTCATATAGTTAATGAATTATAGTTTGAATATATATAAAAATAACATATATTATAATTATTAGAATGAGATTAGAACAAGTTCTTTAATAGTAATATTTTTAATTATTATCTTATAGCTAATTATTATATAGTTTTAATTATTAAATAAGCAAAGTTTGTACTTATTGTAGAATAGATAATCAAGTACAAACTTCTTTCTACATCTTTTTGACAAAGTATTCTTATTTCTTATATAATTGCTTTAGTACTATTATTATAAGTGTTATATAAATCTTGAATTAATATTATAGTAATTTAAGTATATTTGTTAGAAGTACTATAAAAAATTATCATCTTAATACTAAATTATCTGAATATATTTGTGATAAAACTTATTGAATATTATATTGAATAAAAAAATTATTATTATAATTCATAAATTTGTCTTTGAGATTTTATTGCTAATAATATATTGCTTATAAACTCATCTTTAATATTGTATTATTAATAATATATTATTTATAAATTCATTTTCAATATTATATTGTTAATAATATTATTTACCTTTAATCTCATATTGCTAATAATATAAATATTATAATCTTTATAACTTTGACTCTGAAATTTCAAGGACTCTTTTTAATAGTTCAAATTATTACATTAAAAGAATATAACTGGTATTGATCTTTAAATAATTTTGTTACTAGTACTTATTTATATTCAATCTAATAGTTATAAAGTATTATTAATACTTTAAATTATCATTAAAATATTGAAAGTTTCCTTTAAATATTTCTTTAATATTTATAAATATCTTTAAATATTTCAAAAGTTAATCAAAATAGTAATAATATATTTTTTTAATTTTGCAATTTAATATTTTATAATATATTTTTTATATATAATTAAAAAATATTATATAATATTAAATCTAAAAAATCTGAAAAAATATATATTATAATATATAATATTATTTTTATTTTGATATAAAAATAAAAAATATTTATTAGTAAAATTAAAAACTTTTATATAAAGAGAAAAATCTATATTTTATTTTATTATATTTTATTAATAAATATTAATATTATTATATTTTTTTTATTATTATTATATATTTTTTCAAGTTTTTTGTATTTAATTCAAAAAATTCTAAATATTAATAAATATAAATTTTTATTATATTTTAATTAATAAAAAATTTTGTACTTATTTTATAATTATAATATTTTTTTAAATTAAATACAACAAATTTAAAATAATATATAATAATTAACAAAATTATAAAATTATATATATAATTTATTAATAAAAGATAATTAGAATTAAAATTTTTGAATTATATAAAGTTTTTAATTTTATTAATAAATATTTTTTATTTTTATATCTAAAATTATATATTTATATTATGAAATTTTTAAATTGGTTTATAATTAATTATATTTAGTTGAAATATTAATAATTAATTATAATCAATTATAAATAATTATAATAATTTGAATTATAATTTTGATAATATTAATTATTTATAATTAATTATTTTATAATATAATTAAAAACTTTTATATAATAAAAATTTTTATTTTTATTATATTATTTATTATATATAAATTATTTATAATTTATTATTTTTTAAAAAATATCTAAAATTTATAAAATTAATATTAAAATTTTTTTATTAATATTTTTAATATATATAATATATATAAGAAATAATAAAATTATTTTTTGGAAATATAATTTATAATATATATATAATAATTAATAAAATTATGAAATTATATGTATAATTTTATTAATAAAATATAATAAAAATTTAAATTTTTGTCTTATATAAAGTTTTAAATTTTATTAATAAATATTTTTTATATTTATATAAAAACAAAAATTATAAATTATAGTTTAATATATATTTTTCTGGATTTTTTTTCTAACAAAGTTTTCTAATTGCAAGATTATTGAAAAATATTTTATAATTAATTTTATATTTTAATTTTTGCAATAAATTTGTAATTAGAACAACTTTATCAAAAAAATCAGAAAATATATATATATATTATACTATAACTTATAATCTTTATTTTAATATAAAAATAAAAAATATTTATTAATAAAATTGAAAATAGTTATATAAATCAAAAATTTTACTTTTTATTAATAAATTTATATATATAATTTTGTTAACTATTTTATATATATATATATATATATTATAAAAAAAAATTTTATATATTTGATAGTTTATAATTATATTTACTTTAAATTATATTTTTTATAGTTAAAAATTAATAAATAAATTTATATTAAAGTAAAAATAATTTTAAATAAAAAAATTTTTAAAATTCAAATTATTATTATTAGTAAAGAAATATATTATACTTATATTATAATTTTAAATAAAGTTTTTTTAAAATTAATATATAATAAATAAGTTTTAATATTAAATATACTTAATTAATTAAATAATTACTTAATATAACAAATAATTAGTTAAATTTGAATTAACTTTAGTATAATATATTATTTTTTAAATTTTTTTGTATTAATAATATAAAAAGTTAAATAAGTTTTTTACTTATTTATATACAGTCAAATCTCTTTATAATTATATTCATTTATAGTTATACTTCTCTATAATTTCTCTATTTTGCTTTTTTATTTATATATAAATATAATAAAAAATTACTCTATAGTTATATTTTCTTTATAGTTATCAAAATTTGTTTTTCTGGAAGTGATAACTATAAAGAAGTTTAACTATAATAATTATTAATATTAATATAATATATAAAAAAGATCAAAATTAATTTTTTTCTTCAAAATTATTATATTTAAGATATTTATATTATAATTCAATTATATATATTAAAATGAAAAATTTTTACATAATTTACATAGTTTTATTAATATTATAAAAATTATTATATTTATTAAATTTATTATTTAAAATAATTAATATCATATTTTTCTATTTTTCTATTTTTCTTTAAAATAATCAAAGTATCTTTAATATTATTTATATTATTAATATATATTAAATATATTAAATTAATAAAAAATTTATTTTATATTTTTTTTATTTGTAATAAGTTTATACTTTTATATAATAAACTTTAATTTATATAGTTTTATCGATACTATAAAAATTATTATATTATTAAATATATTTAGCCTTTATTATTTAAAATAGTTAATAAATATTATTATATTATTTCTTTAAAATAATTAAAATATCTTTAATATTATTTATATTATTAATATATATTAAATATATTAAATTAGTAAAAAGTTTATCTTATATTTTTGTTATCTATAATAAGTTTGTTTTCTTTTATATTAGTTTTTTATAAACTATTAAAATTTTTTCTTTAAGTTTTTATAATATATTATTAGCAAAGCCAAATTTGATTTTTGAAACTTTAATATTTTTTAAACTATTTAATATATAAAATTAATGCTAAAATATTTTGTCTTACATTTTTGCTTGCATTTATAATTTTTAATTTTCTTATTTTAAAGATCAAAATTCTATAATTAATTATTTTTATAGATGTAATAAATTGTTTAAAAAATTATTTTTGTTTTAATTATTATTAATATAAGTATTTTTTATTATAATAAAACAGTTTAAAAGATAAAGAACTTTAATTTGTGCAAAATCACAATTTTTTAGAAATATAATAGGATCTTGCTAATTAGAAATTTGAATATGAAAACTATAAAGTTAATATTATATGAATTCAGTATTTTTGTATTAAAAACGTAAATAAATATCTTTATCAGTTTTTGGATCAGATGAGAGCAAAATATATAAAAGATTTTTATATTTATTTGTTTTATGAGTCACATTAAGATAACTTAGTGAATGATTTTTGTTAGTAAGAACTATAAAAATTTATCTTTTTACGCTCATCACATCTCAGATTGTGATAATAAATAGATAAGATTTTCTTATCAAGTTTGATTCATTATAATTTCATACTTTGTTCTTCTAATTTATATTTAATTTGATCTTTTTATAGCAATTTCTTTTCAGATATTATAAATGTCATCCTGAATTACAAGATGATCTGAAATAACAATTTTTTGATTTTATTTCGATCTAATTATATTTATATCACAAATATATTTTTGAAATAATTGACTAATATTCTTAATATTTAATCTATCCTGAATATGTTCTGCAATTCAGTTACAAATTTCATTGGACATTATAATTTTTATCAGAATGATTCTCGATAAGTGACGGGGTAGATAATCGGGAAGATACCAGCAATGATGAACATGTTGAAAACTGTGTGATATCTCCTGTAGAAGGTACTTTCTGTGCATTAATAATAGTTCGGTTCTGCTTGATCTCCTCGAAATCATGCCTTAATTTTGCTACTTCGGCTTTAAGCTCAGTATTCTCTTCCATAGCCTATCTTAGCTTCGCATTCTCAGTCTTAACCTCGGCATCCTTTTTTCTAAGTTCAGGAATCTCAGCATTTTCCTTTCTAAGATCAGCAACGAATCGATTTTTGATTGAGTAGATTGAGATGACATGTTTTGTTAACAACTTTTATATAGCGATAAGGTATAGATTTATTTAAATTAGCGAGTTTAAAAATCACGTGCGCGTTCCGAAACCGAACGCCGATCACTCAATTTCTCACGTGACTCTATCGAATTGTCTAGAAGGATCTACATGATGTAATATTGGCCCAATCAAACTTGCACTATGTCGCAACACAAATCCAAGTTGGGAAAGGCCATTAACAAGACCTTGAGAAGGGAAGAAAAAGAAATTTCAGGTCATTTGCGAACGTAGTGCTTTTAGAATCTTGTTGCATTTGGGTGTTAATATGCCATCCCACAGGTGGTAAAAAGCCTGAAACTGACCAACCTGAAACTGAAATGTCCGGTTCCATTATTGGTTCGTGATTTTCTTTGTTGTTTATATACCACTGAAGTGTATTAACATGTCGACCCACCACCTCCGCCTACAGGAAAAATGTCGAACATTTATACAGAGATTCTTCGCCTCAATCTCAATCGGAGGACACGTCCCTAATCTACTACTTCACTGAAGATGGCGAAGCTAAAGCTAGAGCGGAGAACGCCTTCACTGTCTTCAACAATGATGAGCAGAAACATGCCTACCAAAACTTAGTCTTGGCTTCTTGTATGTGTCTCGTAATTTCTCGTAATATGTTTGTTCGTTTATACTAATGAAGTGTGTTAATACCATAGTCTATAACATGAACCCTGAGTTATCTACAAAGTCTCGTTCAACTAAGAATGAATCGATCAACTCCGTTACTAGTTCGTAATTTCTAGTGTTATTATATTATATTAAAGTATGTTAATATTGCCCACCTGATAAAATGTCTGAGCTTAATCTTGAAACAGGATCCGTTGAAAAACTAAAGCTCGATACATCTGAAGAGTCTATTTTCGGAAAATTTGACCCTAAAGATATAGATCTCGAAAAGTTTTTTCAAAAAATGGACCTCGACCAATTGTGAGAATACGGACCACCATTAACGAACAAGGACATAGAGAAATTTTACGGTACATAAAAAATCTGACCCTGTTTGATTGCATCATATATCCTCTGTATCACTTCGCAGAATTCGTCGGTCCTGATTTTGCTTGGCCCCCAACAATGAATACCTCTGAGCGCCGTATCATCTTTGATTGTATTGCCCATTCTGAAGGAGAAGGAGACGAATTTGCCAAAAACCATATTGCATATCGTCGCTTCACCGAGGTTGGACAGCTTGATCCATCTCAAGGTAGTCATGTCTTGATCATCGACGGAAATATGGATCAGAATTTTCAGAGGAGGAATACCGGAGACTCGCCACGGAAACTCCAGGAGCGTTGTACACGCCTGTTATCGAAGAGGTGGTCCGCCTGAAATTCTCTTTCATTGAAGATGGCACAAACAAGAAGTGGCAGGTTTGTGTTTACACAATTTCATAATGAAGACTGCATCGTTGGAAACAGCTTTTGCCAAATATCAGGTGCACATGCGGATTCGAAACAAAACTAACTCCAGTATTACAGCAACAATGACAAATATTGAGCGAGATAGCTACAATTTTCGGCTAATACTTGATATTGGTGCAACTTACACAATTATACCACGATTGCTAAAGGCCAATTTGCCGAAACGTCTCGGTTGGAGTTCGAGGATTTCATTTGCTACTGGCTACGGTGCCAACAACGGAATGACTAAGGTTTCTGGGCTCTGGGAAGTCTCCTTGGGCGACGGTGTCAATTGGACGGATTGAGTCGAGATTAAAGAACTATATTCTTGGCAAATGACTGTGGTCTGGTTGGGTTTAATATGCTAAATAAGATTTACCAGATTAAAGTCCCAAACAAACCGTATGTATTTGTGACAGATAACATTACTAATCAATTGCAACAAATTTACAACAGCACCAACGGATCTGACTAGTGCTTATAGAATCCACCAGGGCGACCCCCAAAAGTTCGGTCCACGTGATAATTTTTTGATGATGACCAATTAAATTGCAAGATCAACGTGTAACACAAAAATTCAAAAATAAACAAAACAAAGGCATATTTTTGAAAAAAAAGCTTGTATCTCAAAATCTAGCCTATGACACTATCTTTTGTGTTCTAATAAAAAATGTTCCTTGCGAAATTTTACTATAAGTACATTTTTTGTTTGCCAAATAATCGACCCAGATCCAAACCCTAACCCTTTTCGCATCGTTTACGTCATCAAAGAATTATCATGTGGCTCGAACTTTTGGTGGTCGCCCTGGTGGATTCGTGCTTATATAAATAACAAGTCCAAAAAAATCTGTGCATAAGCCGATATGAAGTCTAATGAATACTTTATCATATCTAATCTATGAATTTGATAAGCAAATTTAGATGCACAATTTATAAGTCGTGGACTTTACCTATTCTCCCACCAGCTGATTCAACTAAAAGTATATTCGAGTTTGATTGCTCTGAAACAGAAAGTTTAAAATTTCTCGTATAAACTTTTTGGTGTATCTGCCACACTGAATTTTATTATATTCTACCAGAATAGTTCCAGCAGGAAATAGATCAATACTAATATTATTACTTTGAAGATATTCTATGAATTGATCAAAATGTTCAAATAGATTCTTTAAACTTGCTTCAGGATCATTGATATAATTTTTAATATTAAATTCTGACATTTTTTATGAGTTGTTCAAGAATTTCTTTAATCTCTATTAATTATTCACGGAAAATAAAATTGTGATTATCAATTGGTTGGTGAATTCACCAGATCTAAATCCAATTGAGAATATTTGGAAGGCATTGAAGGATAATGCTCAAAAGTATGAAGTCTTTCCGCGGTCTGAGAACGAACTTAAAATTGTGTTAAAGGAGAGAAAAACTTGATGTCTCTGTTTTTGAAAAGGTTATTTCCTCAATGCCAAGAATTAAAGCTGTGTTAAAGTCAAATGGAGGGCAAATAAATATTAATTAAATATAATTTTTTATTTTATGTATAAATTGTTGAAACTAAAATAAATCAGTATTTTGTTTAACTTTACATCAGGCGTTACTTTTTGGGGGTACTGTATATAATATTGATTTGTCCCACTTTATGGATCAGCGCATTATCTTGCTGAAAACTTGCACGGTTTCCAGCTAATACTGTAATTGGTACAAAGCTTTTAAGATTCTAAGATAAACATCCGAATTTATTTTCCCTCCGTCATTTTTGTATTCATCACAAAATACCAGTGGTCCTTTGTCGTAATAGCTTCCCAATTTTCACACTCGTCTCATCAGAGAAGATTATATTTGCCCAATCATAAGCTGTTTTATTTTTATTTTCCTCACACCACCTAAAACGAATATAAGCATGTGTATCCGAAATGTAGGGTTTCTTTGCTGCGACACTAGAATAAAGTCCGGCATCGTGTAATACATTTGCGGCAGTTGACTGAGACCTAAGTTGACAATTTCGTGGAGTGGTATATGTCATTTTTCATTAACTTTACATACAATTAAATTTTTTTCATGGTTATTAAGGACTGGTGATCTTTCAGAACGAGGTAAGTTTTCACTTTTCCCCGTCCTTTTGTACTTAGCAATAAAACGCCGTATTGTTGTGGGATCACGTCCAAGCATTTTTGCAATTTAGGTGACATTTTCAGTTCCCATGTATGCCAGAATCTTCCCTTTTTCAATTTCGTTTAGCCATGTACGAGTGAACGTCATTTTTTATATAACAATGTTATAATATTGACGTGTTGTAAAAAGTAAACAAACGTCAAGCTTGTTTATCAAACCAGGAGAAAACTTGATACGTATGTATATTGATTTTTTAAAATTGGTTACACACGCAAATCTGGCAACACTTATCAGGATATTATTCAAGTAATATCGATATCGATATATACCGTTATACATATCTATTGTCTAATTGAGTTGTTGTGCTTGTGAATCGTTAAAATCCTGTGTTTTGTGGAATTTGTTGTATCATTAAGAATAATGTGTCTCAGTCGCTAGTGAAGTAACGCAATGTAAACATAATAGTCATTAATATAACCAGTTTATTTATGATGTTGCTAAAAGTAATTACCAGTTATTGCAAGCTCACCAATTGAGTCAGTTTTGTCAGTTTCTATAAGTTATGGTTGAATAACAGAAGTGGGAATAATTAACCAAGTACCAACAATAAAAATTGTATCGGTATGAATTTTGTGAAGACTCGAATTATGTAAAACATGCAATATCGATACATGTATTAGATGAGTGACATATATTACGTAATTATCAGAGGTGGGAGGAGGTCTCAAAAATCTCATCAAAAATAATTAGCCAATTAAAATCTCACCTTTGGGGGGGGGGGAGGGGTTACCTCTATAGTAACTCGATAGTATGTGATGTATGTCACTCCCCTTACGTACGTGATTAATTTGAATAATTATCTACATGATTATCATGCAAATATCCTTTTTTAGGGATACGATAAAGCGTTGTACCTTCAGGTAATCCATTCAATGAGGATGCGCAAATTTTGTTGATCACCAATAAGAATGCACAAATTTTGATCAACCCGGCAAAACAAATCCGGCACAAGAAAATTAAAAAGGTGAATAATGTGAAAAATACGGAAAACGAATGTGTAAACCTAGCTTGAAATTCTAATTAAAAATGTCGGGAAGACAATTTTACATGTAACCTTTACTCCAGTCCTACCCTAACCCTTATCCTGACCTTATAAAGCATTGACCGATGATTGATCACGTGGGTACAACGCTTTATCATATCCCCTTTTTTAGATTGTGCTACATGCACAAATAAGTAATCCCGGTTTTGTTCGGTAAGAACATTTGAATAGACATATCGATATGCGAACACATACGGTGAAAGACCATTTACATGTATTTGTAAAACTTGTCAAAAGCGTTTTTCGCGATCTGATGAATTAACGCGACATGAAAAAAAAACTCGAAATAATTTTAAAAGGAAAGACCGGCAGCATATCCATCATTTAAATCTATTGCACTAGGAGAAACTTCAGTGACTCAACTTTCTTCATCATCCGAATTATTATCACCATCATTGTCGTCGCAATCATTGTCGTCATCATTATTTATCGTCACCATCAGCAATTCTCACTGATAATGATCAATTTTACAGATTTCCAGAAATATCCGGAGAATGTAAGGAACAACTTTGGACACCAAATAATAAAAATGATGCGTCATTTCTCTGAATCCCAAGTTTACATAATTTAGGATCGTCAACATCTCTTACAGCATTTTGTTACAAACCTCGATATAACGATGTGGTCGGGATAGTTAGTAAAAACATCATTATGTTGAGAATTTATTATAAATTCGTTATATCGAGGGAAGTTTTATTAGAAATGTTCTTGAATCGTCATCATTATAAATTAGCCATCGTTATAACGAAGCATCAGTATATCGAGGTTTGACGGTATAAATGAAACTAATGAAAAAACGTTATTTTTCTAGATGTAATTTGAACAGAGAAGTATTGCCAAAATTAAATAATTTGCAGTTCATATAACATAATATAATCAAAAAAGCTCTGGAATTCGAATTCATTTAAATTTTACTAAATCATAAATTCAAGTTCACTTTCAAAACCAAAACTAACCAATCAAGTAAAAAATATTGAACTTAAACTTTACTCATAAAAGTCTTTTTCCATGTTTCATGATACATGTAATTTCAATAGCGATAGTTACTGTACTCTATGCACTAACGCTAAATAATACGGCAATGCACTAGAACGTGGACTTGTATTAATTAGCTAATCATGCATTATCGTTATCTCAAAATTAATAATTACGCAAATGACAAAAAACTCCCCTGCCTGGCCTCGTAACTTTAATATCTTATAAAGCTTAATGTTAAAGAATAAGTATGATTTTTTATATTTGCCATGTGTACCTTGCAATATTCTACTGATAAAGTTGAATATTTTGTTTATTATTTATAAATAAATGCTGTTGTAATAGATTTTTTGACATGTGATTTAATAATTCGTGCAGAAATTACATGTACATGTACGTATTACAAATTCAATTTTTAACAATGACAATACGTAAGCATATTTTCAAAACCATTTGTTAAGCATGCTAATCCGTGAATAAAAACAACAAAAATATCGTTGCACGCATTCTCCATCAATAAACCTATCAGCCGTCGGGTTTGTTTGCCCAAATTTGTCTAAAGATCAAAGCGGCAGGAGTGACATTGACAAAGTTAATATCAGAGCTGCAGTGTTATTCTCAACTTCTATGATGCAATACGCAAGTACGTAGAATACTGTATATTCTTATCGTTATCAAGCAAAAAAATCTAGACTGTTAAATTTTCTTACATAGAGGTGAAAATAAAAATGTAATATAGAATCCTCCCAATAATTGGAGCAATTAGCACATAAATGCTTTTTTCCATATACATGTATAAAGAAGTAATTTCTTTTTGGTAACGCTAAAGTATTTTGTATTGTCAGAAAAGAAAATAATTGGTAATATATTTATGCGTTAGCTCTAGTGTACAAGCAGGTTTCTGTCAGTCTAGAACATCATTTGACTTGGTGTTACTTAGTACCTCTTATTCATTTACATGCATATTTGTTTATTCATTCTTTCCGGTTTTTGGCAAAAATAAAATCGTAACGGTAAGAGATAGACAAGACATGAAAAAAAAACGTGAGCACATCTTGAAAATCAAATCCTTTAAATCGAAAATCTCTTGTAATTGGTTTCTTCAGAAAAAATTTTAAAATTCAAGTTTTTTAGATCACAAATTTTATAGTCACGATTTTTCCTTTATGCAAGCAAGAATATTAACCTGTTTTTTTATCAATCATCTTAGCATTGTTGGTCTTTATATGTTTAGTTGCATTATTGCATAAAATCTGATCAACACGCGCGGGACCCATCAATTTTTCATTCATTGTTTGGTTACTCTGTCCTTTAAAAGAATTTTCCCCTGATGTGAAGGAGTCGTCATACCATTTTTTCGAAGAACATTTCCTTATGAATCAAAGTTTTGCGTGGGAATTATAAATATTACGCTATAAAGTTTGGCTATTATTTTTTTATTAACATATAAAGAATCATATATCTATATATGTAATGTTTGTTCTCCTTTTTCTTGCTAAATCAACGTGATCGATTAGTATTCGATGGAATAATGAACATGTGCAAAGAATGCCATTATTCCGCATTAGATGTCAAAGTATATGAAGCGATTCCATAGAAACCAAGCTTGTTTTTTACTGACTCCCGTGTTGTTGGTACATTAGCTATATTAATTATTACATTAATTATATTATAATAAATGCAGTTTAAAATCAAAATACATGAAAAGTAACTGATTTTTGTTTACATTTATTTACTTATTTATTTATTACTGGCGAATAATTTACGCTGCGTGTATGCATCTATGTGTGTTAAGCGTGAAAAACTGAAAATCCAAGAAAAATTCAGGAGTTTTTGCAGATATATCAACTGACGACATTTCGCTTTAGTTTGTCTTTTCTGTTCCTTCCTTGGCGATTCCTCTCTTATCTAACGAGTTTTCGATCCGTTAGAATTAAGAAATCCACCAAAATTCAATTAAGCTTTAAACCAGTTATGCTCTAAACCGTTTACTCGTAAACTCGCAACTTACTTAAGCCTACGAATGATATACACGTAAATAACATTTCCTTCCTTGGAAACGTACAGACGACCTTTTTGCGTAATCCACATTGTTATACATGTAGTATAATCAATCCTAATGGAAGGAAACCCACGTTCTATTCAACGAGTCGCTCGAAAAGTGTTACACATAATCATGATGCTCAAAACCACAATTCAGAATAAATCCACGATGCGGGGTTTTTTACACGTCATTCTTTTTGATCCCAAAAATAATGGCAGATAAATCGTCCAATATAATTATGCTATTAATCGCTTTCTCATAACTGTTTTCCGATTTTCAAAATACCCCTAATAAATTATCCTATATCGTCAACACTTCATATTTATTAGTTCGTTAGTCCACTCGTAAAAATCAAAATGTAAATATTGTAAGTATTGTAAATATTTAACAAAAATGTACATATTCTCGATTCATTTTTAGAATAACGAATCAAGAAAACAAATTAGCTCTGTTCTTTCTATTCGTTTTAATTTTAGCGCACTATTCGATTGTTCTATATTTTTCTCGATTTCTCGTATTGGATAAAAAATGCATGAATAATTCGTTTTTCTAGTACTTGTATTTACTACGTTGTTACTTTCGGTTTTCTTTCTGTCGGAACCAGTTGAAATTCTTTTCGCAATTCTTTTCGTTAAAAAAGGCAATCTAACGATTAATTCCAGGAATAATTAGAATTCCTGCGTGACTTCATCTTTACGATTTATCATGGGCACGATTTCCTATGATCGAATTTTATTTATATGGCATAAAATAATAATTAAATACGAAAAATAGTTCTGGATTTTTATTTATTCGAAGTTCTTGAATTAGAATTTAGCATTTATAATTTTTCTTTATTAAGAATTATATGTATATAAAAATTTTTCAAAATAAAATCATCGATTTGCGTGACGATAAAATCACATGCTTAATCATTTTTTTTAACTCGGCCGAAATACGTATTTAAAATCTGTCAAAAATGTGATAATGCAGAATAATCTTTCATAAGAATGGCAAATGACATCGGAAACGTCCTGTAATAGATTATATTTAACACCCTCTGTTCAACTATTTGGCTGTGAGGAAGCAAAAACCCTGCATCAGTAAAATAAAAACATCATAGAAGTACATTAGAAAAATAGCTTTTGCTAATTTATGTTGAACCATCAAAAAGCTCGATTAAAGTTCTCGCAGGCAATTTTTGTTTGTTCTTTTGACGAAGTTATTATGCAGGAAAATTTTAAGCTTGCCATTAAAGATCGACTCGTTTGCATTGCATGACCAACGTAAGTGACGAACACCAGTAATCTGCTCCACATAAAAAAATAATCAGTTTTCGTGTTAAAAACATTTTTTAATACATCAATCAAGACGATTTATCTAATGAATACAATAAGTTGCTGGTATAATAAAATTCCTCAGATCCGGGCGTAGATCCAGAATATAAAAAAATACCGAGGTTTTTTTTTACAGGGTAGCACATTGATAGGGAGGGAACGAACATTAATAGAGATAAATAATTAACACATTTTATTCAAGCGGCAAAAAATTTCTTGTTAACAAAAAGTTTACATGCACGATTTTTTCGCATTTAACGCGTGGATATTTGTACGTAATCTAAGACTCTATGAATTTAATATTTTAATGATAAAGAAAATATATTAAATAACTTTATTATATATTCAATTATTGAAAATTGCAAAATAGTTTTACATTTCTTAACGATGCCAACCCAAGATATTAATCGGTATAAGAAATAAAATATGCTAATGAATTAGGTAACAATTTATATTATTGGCAGGTCAGTGGAGAAGATACGGGGTTAGAGAAACTAATTCTACATTTTTGTATTTGTGAAATATTAGTATTCTAATTTTTACAGTGTCATTTTTTAATTATTTTATAAAATTAATATGATATTAAATTTTTAACACTATTAACTCACTTTTCACTAATATCTATATTTCAAATTTGCTAATTTTTTCGAAATCTTTAACTAAATCGAAATGACAAGGAACTCTGCATTCTGCATAATTACTCGCTCGCCATCTGGGACACATACTAAGTACGTATAGATAGTACATGTACATGTACTATGTTAAACAACAAATCGTCGAGATTTGTCTGTCTGTTTCTGATAGAAATTCTATGCATGCACATGTACATATCTACAAAGCTTATTAAATGATGGTTCTATCTACGTATCCAGAGGAAATCTTCAAAGTTGCAATATTTTTCAAAAAATAAAATTCGAAAATGACTAATTCATTAAATTGTTCATGTAAAGAAGATAAATTCTTAACCCATCTTTGTCAAGAATATGACAAGCTCAATGCCGCTTCAGTAGTTTGTTCATATTGCAGCGAAAAAGGCAAATATAGCTTTAAATGTGAAGTAAACGGATGCCATAATCTAAAAAAAAATGATGATTTGTATGCTCTAAATGCATTTCAGCAAATATTGGTTTGAAAAGTATTTTGTGTAAAACTTGCAATCCAATTGGTCTTGGTCTTTGCATTGAATGCTATAATGGTGCGTGTTTAGAAGAGCAATGTTGGTGTTTGCAGATGCACCCTAATGAAATTAACGAAGATGTGAAAAAAAGAACCGGAAATTACGAGATAGATAAATTCATTTGGGAAGCAAAAAAATACGAATATGCATTTGAATGGATCAATTTTAAAGAATTTTTTGACAAAAAGTATGTCGCAAAAGGAGGATTTGATGCAGTTTTTTCAGGAAAATGGAAAAATGACTTGAAAATTCAATTTCCGCCAAATCATGCAATCACCTTGCTTGATAGAAATTACCCCATCCAAAACACCATGATCACTTTAAAAGACTTACAGGATTCAAAAATTTGTTTTACCTGCAATGAAAAAGGATTCATTGGATCTCAATGCTTGAAGGATGGCTGCAAAAATATAAAAAAAGATATTGATTTTTCTTGCTTGCTATGCATTTCAACAAGTATTCGTTTGAAAAATATTTTGTGCAAAACTTGCAATCTAACTGGCATTGGCCTTTGTATTAAGTGCTATAGTTATGAGCATTTCGATGTAAAAAAAATGACTGGAAATCATGAGGTGGATGAATTCATATTGGAAGAAAAGGAAGCAAAACCATCTTTAGAATGGATCAATTTTAAAGAATTCTTTGACAAAAAATATGTCGCAAAAGGAGGATTCGATGCAGTTTTGTCAGGAAAATGGAAAAATGACTTGATAATTCAATTTGCGCCATATTATAAAACCACCTTACTTGATAGAAATTATCCCATCTACAACACCATGATCGCTTTAAAAGACTTGCAGGATTCAAAAATTTGTTCTACTTGCAATGAAAAAGGATTCATTGGATATCAATGCTTGAAGGATGGATGCAAAAATATAAAAAAAGACCTTGATTTTTCCTGTTTACTATGCATTTCAACAAGTATTCGTTTGAAAAGTATTTTGTGCAAAACTTGCAATCCAACTGGCATTGGCCTTTGCATTGAATGCAATAGTAATGCATGTTTTGAAGAGCAATATTGGTGCATGCATATGCATCCTAATGAAATTAACGAAGATGTGAAAAAAAGAACCGGAAATTACGAGATAGATAAATTCATTTGGGAAGCAAAAAA